TAGCAGACATACAATCCGATATGACAAGTATATTCCTTTTATAGTTATTTTTTGACCATGTAAGGGCACTATATATTGCAAAAACTTCGCAATCAAACGAGGAACAGTCTTTGTCTAGCCTAAAACCCATACGAGAATTATTATATGGAACATAAACCGCAGCACCGCATTTGTCATCAATTTTTGACCCATCGGTATAGATATGCACGTGTGATTGATAGGATTCATTTATATAATCCAAACTTATAGCTTTTGTTTGGTCGGGCGTATACCAAGGAAAAAGTATATTCGATAATGCATCGTCGATATTAATTTCGTCCAAATACCATGGGGGAATTTCTTCGGCTTTAATAATACTAATATCCAATTTGTCAATATCGAAAGTCCTTGCAATCATACCAAATGTACGAAATGCTGGAGAGTTGGGAAATATTTCATGCCATGAGTGTTCGATGACTTCGTGGCAAGGATGGTCAACAAATGTTAGCAGTTTAGCCTTATATAAGAGGCATAATTGTAGTCGTCTTATACTCAATGGCATCTCATTACAACAAACTTGTAAAGCAATTTTAGGCGTACTCATCATGCCACCTGCAGCGATGCGTAGACATTGAGATTGGATAATTTCGATTTTTCTTATGGCATTTATTGATGCTGAAAAATAGGCTTCCATACCATATTCAATAATGGGTCGAACTAGGGATCTGTACAATGACAAAAGGGGTGATTTGTTAGCTCCCCAGCTAGTTCCAATAAGCAAACGCAGCAGATTAATCCGTTTACTACATTTTTGTACAACATATTCGATATGTCTCTTATAATTTAAGCGCCTATCGAAATAGACTCCGAGGTATCTTACTTCATTCCTGACTGGGAGTATTACACCGTTTATGTGTAGTTGTATTGGTGGTAATTTTCTCTTTCGGGTGAAGAGTACAACTATTGATTTTGTGACCGAGATCTTAAAACCCCATTGATTGCACCAGGACTGAATGCAATCCAACGAGTTCTGAGAGGAAATGATTAAATCTTCAATATTGAGACCAATGTGCCATAGAGCGCTATCGTCTGCAAACAATCCAACATTATCTGATGAAATAGTACTAGGCATATCGTTTATCATTATATTGAATAGCAGTGGACTGATTACGCTCCCTTGAGGAATTCCGTTTTCCAATGAGAATATACTTGAAAGACGACTGCCTACTCTAACCTGAAATGAACGATTTGTCAGAAAAGATGCAACAAAAATCCAAATTTTCCCGGTGACACCAATGTTATATAGTTTGTATAACAGTCCTCTTTTCCATACCATGTCATACGCTTTTTCCATGTCTAAGAAAATGCCAAGTACAGATCTTTTATTTGGTAAAGCTTTATATATGTCATCGTGTAATTTTAGATATGCATCAGTTGTAGATCTCCTCCACCTAAAACCGCTCTGTTCTCTACATAATATGCCATTTTTTTCAACAAACCACTTCAGTCTGCGAACTATAATTCTTTCCAAGACCTTACATAAATTGCTAGTTAAAGATATAGGCCTATATGAAGATGGTTGGTCTTTTTGTTTATTGGATTTAAGAATCGGAATTACAACAGAGCGTTTCCAGGTATCTGGAATACTCCCTTTGTTCAAAATCAAATTGAACAATTTGAGTAATATGTCTTTACATTCTGCGGGCAATTTTATAAGCATCGCGTAGCAAATCTTGTCTAGTCCTGGAGCAGTGCTTTTTCTTGGTTTTAAAACTTGATTAAGTTCTTTCATTGTGATATTTTTATCCAATTTGTGATTAGCCTTGAAGATTGTTACGTCATGTGAGGATTCGAATGCGATCTTTCTTTGAAGAAATTTCGGAGTGTAGTTTTCATTGCTACTGACCGCCGAGAACGAACTCGCCAGAAGCTCAGCTTTTTCGGAATCTTCGATTGCTGTTATACCATTGTGTTTAAGGCCGGGGATTTGTTCGTATACCTTGCTTTTAGTGAAGCGCCTAACCATTTTCCATACGTTGCTGAGTTTTTCATTCTTGTCCAGTGAGCTACAGTAATCATGCCAACTCTGCCTTTTAGCCTTCAATATTATTCTTCTTGCTTCAGATCTACGTTTTTTATACATTATCACATTTTCGATGGACATCGACCTTTTCATTTTAAGGAACGCCGCTTTTCTTAGCCGTATGGCTTTGTCGCAATCAGCATTCCACCATGGGATGCCATTTTTTGTGTAGGATTTTGTTCGTGGTATTGATTCATTTGCTGCTAAGATAATCGCATTTGTAAGAAAATCATTGAATTCATTTATATCGCTTGTGACTATATTCTCACTGATGCGCGTTTTACATAATTCCGAGAACTTATCCCAATTTGCTTTATCGAGTCGCCATGATTCCATGTAATTACTTGTGTCACCGACTTGTGTTACGTTAAAATAAGTTTTAACCATTACGTGATCACTTCCCAGTAACTCGTTGGTCACAATTGTATTACATCTATGGGCAACATCAGGAGATGCTATTGTTAAATCCAATAACGACCAATTATTTACTCTGTTATGGGATAAATTTATCCTAGTGGGAACAGAGGTGTTAAGTACTACTAAATCTGTGCTGTCAATAGCTCCAGCAAGAGCTAGTCCTCGTTGATTGTTTGTTGGGCTACCCCACAAGAAATGATGTGAATTAAAATCCCCACAAAAGACTGTTTGTCGTGAAAATTGATCAAAAAATCGTTCGAAGGCATATTGAGAAATTCTAACATCAGGTGGGACGTATACATTGACTATCTTAAGATTTCCCAAACTGACACTTTGAGCTTCTGCGCCATTTAGAGGTTGTAAAGGTATTTCAACAAAAGATATATTATTTTTTATAACAAATAAGATGCCACCACCTTTACTAATCAATCTATCTTTGCGTACTAGGGTATACCCTGGTATGCTAGGATTATACTTTGGTGTGAGATTGCTTTCTTGGATGGCTATTACGTCAGGTTTCTGGTGTGAAGCACTAATAAAGTTTTTCAATTCACCTAGTTTCCGGTATATACTACGGCAATTCCATTGGATGATAGTTAATTTTACTTTTTGGTTGAATGTTGTTTTATTGCATTTTTAAGGTTGCCAGCGTCGACATCGAATCCAAATTGAGCGCCAGCGGACATCGAAACAATAGCGTAAACATCACATTCTTTTCCACTTTGAGAAACCTCTAGCGTATTTTTTATGACTTCTGCGATAAATGCGAAAAAATGTATTGGGTCCAGAGATATAGGTGCATTCTTATCTTCATTTACCTCTTTCGAATTGGGGCGACTATATTGGCCTATAATAGGCGCTTGTTGAGATGACTTGTCTGATGACAATATATCTTTCGACTTTCTAATCATAAGGACAGGTGTACTTCCTTGAAAAGGAACTTTACTGGGAAGAGCCGGAAAATAATTTGCCGAAAATTGCGCAGTTTCTGAAATAGTTTGCTTAATGTGGTTCTTTGCCTCCTCATACGGTAGTTTAGTACTCGCCATTGTTTTTTGAATCAACCGTTCCCGTTTATATACTTCGCAGCCACCATATGCGGCGCTGTGTTCTTGTCCACAATTACAACATCTTGGAGTTTCGGAATCACATTTATTATATTCGTGGTTTCTACCGCACTTGGCACAGCGAACTTTACATCGACAATTTTTAGCTACATGGCCAAATCTATTGCAATTAAAACAACGAATCGGTGGAGGGTTATACACTCTGGTCCTGAATCGCATATAGCCGATAGTCACGATTGATGGTACAATGCATGTGTTAAAACAAATCAGAACTGATTTACTCTGCACAAACTTGCCTTCGATTTTTCTATTAAGCCTTTTTACAAAGACAACACGTTGTCCAGATAATGCGTCCAACAATTCATTATCGGCCATGTCAATTGGCACATCGCTAATTACTACTCTAGTATTTTGATCATTGTTTACAAACAATTCGGTCTTCACTGGAATGTTGGTTGTGCTATCGCCGATATCATCACATTCCAACAATAGTTTAACTTGCTTTTCGTTTGAACATTCAATTTTCAAATCCCCAGAACCAAGCACACGTACCGATTTTAGTGTTCCAAACTTCTGCACCAAATTTCTATGTATAACTATAGGATTGTACGTTCTCATCTTACGCTGGGTACCCCGTACAACAACGAATGTAGATATAACGTCATTTTCTTGACTTATTGTGTTAATTTTTACTTTACTTTGGGCATTAGAATTACTATCGTCCCCCTTCCTTTTCACTCCGGAAGAAGTTGGCGATTCATCGCCGTCCATCTTATAACATAAAACAGCTTTATCCGTAATAAACGTTCACTCTCCAAAAGAAAATTTGTACTGGATTTCAGTCAATTGCACTTTATATACAGCAATATATACAGATCGAATATAAAGAAACGATCTCACCGTATTAATGTAGTGTTGTATCCAGTTTAATCCACAAAACAGAAGATAGTTTGTATCCAGGTTTATCCTCACAAAGACGTCCGTGTGCTTCCATGGCTAGAAAAGTTGAGAAAGAACGATCTATACCGCACGTGGTCTTAGTTCTAACAATCTATTGTGATGCAACTTGCTCTTGCGACACATTAACTTTGCTTTACATTCATACTTGTTCATGCAAAACTCGGTATTACATTTTTGAAGACGCCCTCTGTGACATAACAAGATGCTTTCGTCGCACGCGCTGGGATAATAAGATATCTCAAATTTCGTTCTGAAGTTGGTACACGCATTTGTAAATACGATTCGTGATATAAATTAATCAAGCACCTATTATGTACATCTCGATTTCAGTCTAGAATATTGTATTGGGGTGCTCCCGATGTATGTGTACCAAGATGGCGCACAACCTAAAAAATAGTATTGTACCAGGTTAGGATTCAGGTTGTGCGTCATCTTGGTACTCATACTTCCGGAGTAGGGGCATTAATCCATAATTTGATTTCTAATATATACAGTAACGTAAAATAGCTTTAAATTTATTATAAATATACCGCTATTCGGTAAATATTATTCATGGAACTATACAAGTGCCGATCGTGCGTTTTGAATAGAAACGAGGATTATTTTTCAACTTCTATCGTGATATACCACTGCCATCTACGTCAACACTCAAGAACTGGTGTTCCCTATATATACTATTGCCAACTGGATTTATGCACAAAATTTTTCTCATCATACAAAACATTGAAACGCCACTGCCAACGATCTCACGCGGACTTGGTGTGCAGTTACAAAGAATGCAATGAAGATCCTGATATCCCTGATAAATCTAACATTCAAGAAACGGACTCTGTGGCAGAAATTCATGATGTATCTGCAACTGGAACTATCGGTAGTTCGGATGAATGGCAGAGAGATGCAGCATTATTCATTCTACAAATTCGAGAAGTACACAATTTGACTGAGGTGAGTATGTTGACTGTTAATGTCAACGCTTCAAAATTCATTATACTGGGTGGATGATCCCAGGAGAGGACTCAATCCCTTTTATCGGGCTTCCTCGAGTATCTTATTATGACTAATATGGCTTGCGAGTTATTTGCTTTCACTTTGATAAATATTTTGTTGTATTTCTACCAGCAATTAGAAATGGATTGGGAAGTTGATTCATTTAGCTTATAATTATTTTTTTAACTACAGCAAGCGACTACCGATGTTATAAGAAAAACGGAGCACTACATGAAGTCTCTGTATCGACATATCATTGATCAAGTGAGGCAGAAGTTTCCACCTGACGTATTCGACAGATTCAAGCAAGTCGTCGATGAGGCAGCCGGGCCAATAATCAACCAGTTTTCCTCAGTTTCGACGTCTTATATGCAAGACAGATTCCTGGTAAACAATTTTAATATGATTCTGCCAGAAGCAGTGGTCATAGGAACGTCATTGGATTTCAAAGAAACTCAAAAAGACAGGCGAGTTATTGACAGGCCCCACATTATGCAATACATTTCTCTTGAAAAAACGCTGAGAATTCTATTCCAGGATGCATCATTTTTTGAAATGTATGAATCCTACAAACTGCAGGATAATGTCACGGGTATCTTGACGGACTTCAAAACAGCTATTGTCTGTCGTCGCCATAAAACATTTTCCGCGGATGTAGGAGCTATACAAGTTCTTTTATATTTCGACGACGTGGAACTCTGCAACCCTCTTGGCAGTAAGGTCCGCAAACATAAAATATCATTTTTCTATGTGTCTTTTGCAAATCTCCATCCAGAATTACGATCCCGTTTTTCTGGTATACACCTTCTAGCTATTGCGCTTACAGATGATCTTAACAAGTTTGGTATTGATAAAGTACTAGAACCGTTTTATTCTGAAATTGAACTCTTGAGTGAAAAGGGAATGAAATTCGTTACTGCCAATGGAAAGATCAAAACTTTGAAATGCGATTTGGCTTCTGTAATAGCTGATACACCAGCAGCGCATCAAATTTTAGGTTTAAAAGAGGGAGTGGGATTCGCCTATAGGAAATGCAGGAAATGCATGGCTATAAACGAAACGATACAGACATCACATAGAGAGTGTGATTTCACTCTTCGGAGTTGTGCACAGCATTTATCTCAATGTCAATACCTCAACAAAACTACATCGGTAGCTTATGGTATTAATCGTAAATCGACTATTTTTGATCTCAAAAACTTCGACCCATTCACCAGCGTACCGCAAGATGCAATGCATGTCATCTTGGAAGGGTGCATTCCCTACACTCTGCAACAATTATTACAACATTTACTCCGGGAGAAACAATTGACATTGCAATTTATAAATCAGCGCATAGAAAAGTTTCCATATGGTTATCTCGACCGTACCAACAAGCCTAGTCCTATTATCGTCACAAGGCCAAATGGGGAAGTGAAGCTACGACAATCTGCTTCTCAAATGTGGCTGCTCGGTCGAATTTTACCGTTTTTGTTAGGCGATACTGTTGATCTAGAATCTGAGCCATGGCAGTGTTTTGTAACGCTTTTAGAGATTACCAGCATTGTTTTATCTCCGGTTATTTCCGAGAACATTCTTCCTTATTTGGGACATTTAATAGCACTGTACTTGCAAGATTTTCGAAGTTGCTTCCCGGAGGCCAATCTCATCCCAAAACAACATTACCTTGTGCATATTCCTTCGGATATATATAATCTTGGACCATCATCCAGAATGTGGTGTATGAGATTTGAGGCTAAACATTCGTTTTTTAAGGGACTTTCGAAGTCGAAAACGGCATCTTTCAAAAATATCACCAAACATCTGGCTTTCAAACATCAAAAAAATTTTGCTATGTTACTTGCCAGTGGCCAAGCGTTTTATCACACTGAAACTCTCGGACCTACCCTAAAAGTCGATTGGTCAATGTCCGATGAATTAACATCGTATTTAACTGAGAAGCGAATAACTAATATTGTTGCGTGGGTTAAGCCGAAAGGTTGTATTTTTCGTCCTGGATGTTTTGTCGTGTATAGCGTATTGAACGATATGCCCGTTTTCGCCGAAGTGTTAGCAATTTCAAAATTTTCAACGATTTTGTTTGTTGTTCGTGAATATTGCACTAAAGGGGTGGATGAAAATTTGAATGCATATTATATAGAAAAGGGACGAACTTTAAGCCTTATTTATTATCGAGAACTATTATATTTCGATGCTATGATGTCGTACAGTCTGCTAGAAAATATCTTTTTACCTATCAAAGTTGATTTATCAGGATGCGTGGATCAATATTTGAAACAGCGTCTTCTGCTCTGAATCACAAATAAAAAATTTGTTAACAGAGCCCGAACATGTTCTATGACTATTTTTATCAATTTTTTAACTGTTAAATTTTATGACTTCTAATCTTGAAGGTGTGTTTCGTAAAATCTCGAATGGTGTAGTCATTCAAGTTGAACTGACGTCATATAGTTTCTATATCGATAAAAATTATATGTAAACGACTATTTTTCGTGTACGAGAAAGGGAAATATTATTGTCCCGATTGTTTACTTTATTCGCAGTAAACTTTATAGCCACGTTCGTAGCATATCAATTTCAGATAAATTATTGTTAATCGAGGCGGATAATTAATAACCGCAGTGGGTGACATTGTGACGCATAGTACACCCGGTGTTACGGCCTATAATTTGCCACGTGAGGCGCGACATCAAATGTCCATATATATTCCAATCGGTGTGTTATTGTGACGATTACAATTGGATTCTTGTGGCTAATAAAGTGACGGCGAATTATCGTTTAAAATCGCGACAAAATATTTCCATTTTTTTGGAACGTACTTCACCGTTATTTTTTTCAGTGTAGGCCTACTAATAACAGTAGTTGATTATTAGATTAATTCCTTACTGTCTTACACAAGTCAAGTCTGCAACTATAGGCCTATTAATAACAGTAGTTGAATATTAGATTATTAGTTCCTTACTGTCTTACACAAGTCAAGTCTGCAACTGCAAGTATAGGCCCACGCCTAGGCCTACTGATAACAGTAGTTTGTCATCTGCTTTCCATTGAAATGAGGGAGCTTGTGAATATTTAAAGAAATTGATAACGGCACACTATCACTCACCATCAACGAAGTGCTGTCCGGCAAACAGTGAAACACAAGTAAGATGGCTTCTGGACTTGACACCAAGCAGTCCTGCCAATAGATGATATCCACATTGCGCGACGTTCCGGATCTTTTGAAAACAGTGGAATATAGCTGAAGATCCATTTCGTTGTCTATACTATACGTACAGCCAGCGGAACAATACGAAATAAGTCCATTTTCAACAGCCAAACAAAACGGAAACGTATAATGCGACTTGCAATTGACAGGAGCCAAATGGACGTTTTTGTTTTATTGCCGTCCAGTAACAATGTCACGTGACCCGTGCAAGTCCTCTATAGCGGATGCATCGCCATTAGCGCCTACGTTTATAGATTTTTCTCCCCGCACTTGCAATGATTATTTGATTAATTAATATAGGAAAGAAAATTATATGCAAAAATAACATAAATAAAATTGTTGCGAGGGAGTGACAAACTCAGCGATGGATTCTTATAATGGAGAAAGTGTAACTGAATTATAATTACCGCTCGCCTTTCCCTATCAACCTGGGTGAAATACGGAAACAATAAAAGTGGAAAATTTTGAGATAAAGTATCAGATTAAAACGAAAATAACCAAACTAATAACTCCTTGTGGAAAAGTGTTGCAATAACTGCTAATTAAAATTGGGACAATTAAGGCGAGCGGTATAAACTAATATATATTGCATCTATGTGGGCCCAAGCCCATCACCAAGCGTGAATTTGTGGAGGCAAGTGGCAAGTGGAAAGGAATAAAATACAAACAAACTAAGTTTGTGCCACAGGATAAGTGGACTTAATTTAAGGAGCGATGGGCTCAAACGACCAAGGGAAACCACTAGTGGGAATCAACTGGGCGAGTATGACTAATTCAAATACGAAACACACACGCAAGCTGGCAAACACACTAATACATACCAAAAAGGATGAGGTAAAATAAGACATAAAAGAGGGTGAAGTCAGATTAGCCGAGACTGTCAGGAAGTCCACACCAGGCCTCCCAGACGCGATGGAAACCCCGAATGGAATTTCAACGCAGTTAAGGGAGACCGCCGTAGCCACTCCCAAAGCACAAAGAACAGTCTGGTTCCCCATGGCATAACTGTTCCACCACAAATGCTCCACCATCTTGCCAGTGGCAAGAGCAATGAAGCGACATAACTCTTTATGGAATGGACCATGTGGTCGGAGGAGTTCAAGGTTTTAAACGCCCGACAACCCGAAATATGTCAGCTTCACGGGCAACTTTCAGGACGCTCAGACCCCCGGCCGCAGCCGTGGCGTGAAAAAACGGCCCACAGGTTCGGTCTGGTAACCAGAAAACGGTTCTTATCAAACGACGGATGCTGGTATCTAGCCACTCGAGATCGCGCCGACAAAAATACCGAATCCGTAGTTGGAAGAAGAATCTTGTTAGAACAAACCTCTTCAGCGCCAACAGCTATATAAATTTAAATTTGGTTCAAAAACTCACTCTGTCCGAAGATCCAGTACTCCATGCTCTTGCCAAGATACCTCCAGAAGTCACCCTGATTGGGAACAAAAACCTCGCCATCAAGATAGAGATGCTCACTGTCCACGACCATCGTGCCTCCTGAATGCACCAAGACAAGAATACGGCATTTGGATGGTTTGAATTGCATTCCGGACCATCGCGCAAACTCTCCACATATTAAGAGTTGCACCTCCAGTTGTTGTCGCGACGACGCACACAAAGCAGAATCGTCTGCGTAGCCCTGGCCGTTGACGGTCACATCGTAACTGGTAACCGACGTCCGACAAACCCTCTACTTCCCGGAGGAGAACTTCCATCACCATGTTGAAAACGATTGCGGAGATAGGGCATTTCTCCCTGTAAACGTTAGCAACCGTTTCGAACATGTACCCCGGTGCACAAAAATGTCGCAGGACCTCAAGAACCATGCCTTACCGACCCGAAAGCGTTACAATTACGAATGTCAAGCCACGCCACATAAAGATTACGCTCATGTTTCTTGGCATCCGTAATGACCGAATCAACCATGGAAACATGCTCGACGACGCTTTCGGAAGTTTTTCGGCCAGTTTTTGAATCCCGCATGACCGAAAAACTTCCGCCGCACTGACAGCCATGTCCACCTCCACCACCACGTTACCGTGGGGGTAAGCGTTTTGGGTCATCCACGAAGGCATCGCCCAGTCACCATCTCCGTGCGGAGCCGAATCAGTGCGTTTTTCTCCTCTAGTATCGAGGATGAAATAGAGCAGCGCAGACCACCGAGGGAATCCTCGATAATCGAACTAACCGTGATTTTTGATTTCTCCAGGAAGCCGCCCTCAACTGAGGACCGAACCCGGCTGATACCCACGTTCGCCGTTCAATTTGTTTTATTTGGCCCGTTTCTGGGCTGAACGTGAATAACGGTTTGGGGCCGGCGTCCTGCACTCTGGAAAACAGTGACACGGGGAGACCAAAGTTCAAACTGCTCTTCAAGATGGACGAACGCCTCGTCTGATGAAAACATTGACAGATTCATACACCATGCGGGACAGTTGACGCAGCTCCTCCAGGTTTAGAACACCCAAAGGAACCGCGCCCCTCTGGGGAGATGAACTCTGGCGATCATCCGGCGCAGAAAATGAGTTCTGATGTGTCATGGTTAGCGTGAGGGTAGGCATTAATATTTTCTGTAACCACAAGAGGGTCCGGAATATCGGTAACTACGGGCTCAGGCTTAACCACGAGAGTAGGCGAGGTCGGACACGAGACCGCAGATACGACAACATCATATGATCTAGTCCGTTAAAATCCTGGCCAACAAGACCGGAATTTTTTGCCGATTCCCCGATTTCAATTACTCGTTCTGGGCTTTCGGGCGGCGGGGTAACTACAGTAAAAAGTGTGGATCAGGTTCGGGTCGGGGAGAAGCTTCGCCCTATGCCGTACGCAGCCACGACAACAAGGACTGCCTTTCTGAGTCCCTATTGGCATAGCGGCGCACGGGCCTGGAGGCGCGTTTAGACGGAAATGCCTTTATTGGAAGTCAGATTTGGCCGAGGGGCGGAGTCTTTACGGCCATAGGAAGGGCGAAGAGTTTTACTTTGCGGTGGGAGATTCTGGTGTCGCCAGCCTCAGTGGGTTTTGTCGGGACAAACCGGGCAAAGAAGAGGAAAAAGAAGCATAGAAAGTGACAGCGTTTTTCTTACGGTTTAAATTTGGAGGTAGAATAGGTTTCTGAATCCGGAGAGGATAAAGGCGGGTTGGTGTTTTTAGAATGTGAGAAATAGAAATTATTGGTTCAGGTATGAGGATGAGGAAGCAGGAGAAATAGGATGGGGAACCTGGAAAAGAAGTTGCGGCAGAAGATAAGCAAATGTTGGATGCAGATTGCTCCAGGAAGAGAGAAACGGGAGAACTCGAGCTGAAGGGCGCGACTCGGCCGACCACAACCCCAAGATTGGAAAAAGGCGACAATCGGAGAGGAATCCCGAGGCTCGAGTGGCGAGAGAGAGCACACCGGGCGGCAGGCAACCCAGTTGGATTTTACAGGAATGAGGAATGAATGATCCCTGTATTTACATAGAACACCTGCCGCATACCGGATCTAGCGAAAGTTCTGCTTGCTGAAGCCGTTGTACACCCGGGATATGTCTATACAGCGCTCTTTTATTTGCTGTACCGGGGAGCTTTCTGATGACACCCAGGCAATGAGCAAAGAAAAAGGGTGTTTGTGCCAGTGTATCTAAGTGGAACGGAGGTTTTAGTCGTGGTAGTGGAGAGGCGGCCAAACTCGCCATCATGGGGAACAGCTTTTCCCTTACGTACACGTCGAAAATGGAACTTTCCCTGTACTAGGGAATTGAAATCGAGTGAGCAAATTGTTCACACAATCCGCGGACGAGGTATTTGTCCCCCTATGAACCGATTTGAGTGACAAGCCAAATTTTTCGGGAATGTTGAATTATCAGTCTCGCAACGAGTAGGGTCGGGGATACAAATTCGAGCTTACAAGATTTTAAGGGGCAATAATATCTGCCCGTGGATCGCTCACCTACAAGGACTGTGGCATACGAGGGAGAAACAGAAGTTAAACCACTTGCCATCCCTGATCGGGATAATGGTAAATTTATATAAATAAAAAAAATAGCAATATAAATAGGTAACTGATCTAAACTACACTGCCTCAATTTGACTAAAAACCATTGCCAAACAAACAGTAAATCAGTCGAGCGCTAATAATGCGCACGAAGGAAAACAAATATGTACAAAATATGTAAATTAGGGTATGGCCGGCAACGAGGAAGCACATATTATTGGCTGCCGAAGGGTATCTTGAATCTTTTGTATTGGGGATTGTATTACTTGCTGTTATCGTAAGGATGCTTTTATAAATATACATTTTATCAGCAACAATCTGTTTTTGTTTATCAGCCTATGGCCTACGGTCGACTAACAGAACATTAAATACCATAGTGAGAACACGTACCTTTATCTACAAAGGTTCTCACATTGCCTGCATCTGTGGTTTATCTGAAGCAGACA